CATCCACAGCCTCCTTGGGCAACCTGTTCCAGTGTGTCACCACCCTCTGTGTGAAAAACTTCCTCCTAACAACTAACCTAAACCTCCCCTGTCTCAGTTTAAAACCATTACACTCTGTACTCTCACCACAGCCCAACGCACTTGGGAGATGCTGTGTGAAACAGCTGCCAGGCACAGCACTGCATGGCTCGGAGACTAAAAGCCACCCCTTTCCCCGTTCTTTCCTTCCTGAAGCAAGCAGCTCCCAGCCCAGCCCTTTCATCTGGGACAAGACAACCGCGGCCCTCACTACCAGCCTGGTGCGAGCTCCACACCCAGCTGCACAATCGAACTGGAACTTCTACCTGAACCTGTCCACCTCGCACCTCCTCCTTCCTCGCCATCCGCAGGTCTCCAGAAGTAGGAGAACACCTTGGACAGAACGCCAAGCATCGCGCAGAGCCTCGCCAACCCAAACACGACGCACGCTCACACAGCACTGCGGCTGCTCCGCCGCGCCGCCGGCCAATCACGGCGCTGACTCGGCGTCACGTGACGGGCCATTCGGCCGCGGCCGCCTGCTGCGCCCTGCCGGCGCGGGCGCGTGGTGAGGGCGGGCTCGGGGGGGTGGCTGCTCTCTGTGCTCGTGTTGTGCCTCTGGGCGCTAAGCGTGACTCCCAGCCCGTTGATGTGGTGAAGCAGGGTATGTGGTAGAGTGCATGCATGCAAGCGATTCTGTGATGACTCTATGATTCTATGAATCACGTTGTTGAGTTACTGTAATAACAGTAGAAGCGTGTTTCAAAGCAATAGAAAGAACTCTAGAATGCTACAAATTCTAATTATAAACAGCAAAACCAAAAAATTTGGTCTCCTTCCTTCTCACACCCCCCTTTAGATGCTGAAAGGTGGCTCTCAGGTCTCCCTGGAGCCTTCTCCAGGCTGAACAGCCCCAGCTCTCAGCCTGTCCTCATAGAGGGCTGTTCCATCCTTTGGATCAATTCTGTGTACCTCCCCTAGACACGTTCCAACAGGTCCACGTCAGTCCTGTACTGAGGGCTCCACATCTGGACGCAGTCGTCCAGGTGAGGCCTCACCAGCACAGAGCAGAAGGGCAGGTTCACCTCCTTCACCCTGCTGGCCGCACTCTTATCGATGCAGCCCAGGGTACAGCTGGTTTTCTGGGCTGCAGCGGACATTGCTGGTTTATTTACCAGTTCTCTTGCAGTGTGCTCTAGGTATTTGGTGTAAGCTCCTTTAAAATTCATTTAACAGAGAGCATTTCACAAGTGAGTTTCTGAGTTGTGAGCTCAGTGTCCTGGTAGCATCGTCAGGAGCAGCAGCACGAGGCCAGGGCGGGAGGATCCAGGAGGTTTGGCAGTGCAGCTTGTGCCTCTATGGGAAACTGCTGTATGGCTGTTTGTTATGGGAAGGTGGTGTGGTCTGTGAGTGGATTCCGGGGCTAGGGTAGCGGTTGTCTTCGGCAACCTTTTGTACTTGTACAGTGAGCTCAGCTCTGGTTAGGCAGGGAAGGGCTAGGAATGCCCTGCAGACTGCGTGACGCTTTTAATAGAGTTCTGCACAGTTCCTAGACCAAGGAAATTCTGGCTGCCAGTAATTGCACATGGGTTCCCAAGTCTTGCTATGGTGTAACTGAGGGGATGTGATGCTTACTGGGAGGAGGGACCTCCCAGTGAGTATGAGTGCCTGCAGTCACTGATCTCTTTAGAAGGAGATAAATTCCTGTCTGAAGATCCTGCTCCTGACATTATTTATGAAAGCCTTCACAGGTTGGTTGTGCTGCTCAGCAATCTTACTGCAAGGTGGAAAAGGCAAGTATTTAATCTGGATGTCCTTTAAAATGTGAATGTGCTATGTTTGTTCATTACATCCATATATTTAGAAATATTTAATATTTCAGTAGCGTGAAGTGCATAGTATATATACTGGTCAGAGTGGTTTGAACTCCTCAGATCATGATTAATGTGAAAGACAGTAAATGCAAATAAAAACATGTTGTAATGGGGGAGCAGTTTTGAAGCAACTGGGCCTGTACTTTGTTCTGTACATGCCCCATTACATAAGCTGGGAAACCAAACACTTTGAGGAATTGGTTCCACAGAAACAAAATACTTCAAAGAGCTGATTTTTAGAGCTCTTTAGAGTTTGAAAATCTCAAAGTAATACAGATACTAACATTGGCAAATGACCTACCACCTGCTACAGCTGCTTTGGGAATCTGAACCCTTTCAGTTGTCATCAGTAGCTGTTAAAGTAAGTTGTTCTTCATAGCCTTTTACAATTTGATTCAATTGTCATATCTTGATATCATTTGACCTAACAGACTAAAAATACGTAGTTTTAAACCTTTTTGAGAAGTCCAGTCCTGCTGGAGTTGTTACACTTTCTGCAGTCTTTTTGCAGGTTTCCTGTGCACCTTTTAAAATTAGTAGGAATCTCTTCGTACAACAGCTTTGTTCAGCACTTAGGGTTGTAGGGTCAATTGGGCTCTGACTATTAGATTGTGCCTTGTGCCTTTTGTGTACACACGAAAAGGACCCAGGGTTTTGTACGCAAAATCTGAAACACAAAATTAAGGAAACTAAAATAAAGGACCCCAAAACACTCTGAATAGAAGCTGAAATCAGAATTTCTAGTGTTTTTTGTTGACACAGAGGATAAATCTATAGAGTATCATACAGTGAACCTCTGTGCAAAAAGTAAAGCAACAAATACAAGGAAATGCTCAGGAAAGGGTGAAGAACAAATCACAGTGTAACCAGAGGAAATGCTGTAGTGCCCTGCTTGAGAGAGATGGCCTTCAGGTTCCATTCTGGCTAAAATACTTGGAATTTTCAGTAAGGATTCCTAGTATTTTTGGGTGTTGCTCTGTTCGGTGACATAGGAGTTTGTAAATTCATTTTACTCAAAGAGATTAAATCAAATAAATATCTGAATAGCTCACCAGTTTTTTCTTTTTAATTAAAAAAAATTTCACTGTATTGACTTAAATGGTCAAAAGGGAAAAAACCATGATCCTATTTTATATCTCTACTAATTTGCGTTAAACTCTTGCTCCTAGTACCTAGCAGTCTTTGAAAAGGATGTGAAGTCAGCATTATCCATTTTCCATTAAAACATCGCCTTTGAAAGGGTGCAAAGACTGGAAATTCTTGCATAGCGTGTCCTCTTTGAGCAGAAAGCCTTAATTACTCACGACAGTTTTGCTAGGCTACAGGGTTTTTTTTCCTTCTTTTCTAACACAGTATACAGCTGTGTACCATGCGTGATTAATTTCCATGTTTCAGACTATTAAAACTGTACCTTTTAATATTTTTTTTTAATATTAGCTTTCATTTTGAGAAGAACAAAATCATGTCAGCCCAAAATGAAAAGTAGGGGTGCTCTGAAGTTTTTTTTAGCATGCTTTAAAAGGTGATGCTCTTGTCCAAAAGTGCTGAAAATCTAATTGTGTCTTCGTTACTTCATTGAAGTGTACACAAGAGCCCCTGTCATTGCTGTAGTTGTCAAGATGCCAATATATTCAAGATAAAAGCATTCTTTCTTTTTTTTTTTTTAATTGCCTAATAATCAGGAGGACTGGATCCAGTGTTTGCTGGCCATTGCATGTCACTGCTGCCTACTAGATTTTAAATACGTTGTGTAGTCATCATGGTGTAAGTATGAATGTCAGTATGATGCCAATGTGCAGGTTTTATCTGAACACTCTAGAAAGACAAGGTTAGTAGAAAAAGATAAAGAGTTCTACAGTGAAGAGAAGGTTCTTGATAAGTTTTTACCTTGTAACTTCCCAACTTTTTGTAATACTTGAATTTTTACCTGTAGGTTAGTCTAAGAGAATGGTGTGTAATAAGTAGCTTTTGCTCTTTTGAAGCAAGGACTAGATTGTTGAATATCATTATCGCAAGTTATGATAATAACTAAGACTGATAAACTACAAGGAAGATTTAATTTAATATGCCAAGGAAAGGGTAATACAAAAAAAACATGTTTGAAACTTTTAAAATTTGCTGGTGTGATTGGGAAGCAGATCTTAATGTGTGTAGTGCGGTCATTTTCTAGTGTATTCTGTTAATTAAAATTCAAGAAGCATTTTCCTGTTCCCTGGCTTAACTCAAGTTTTTGCTGTGCTTTTGTTCCGTATCTGAATAGATGTTGTTGAAAGCCAAAGTGTAAGGGAGAACTTTTCAAAGACGGCATGACTCACTGAGCAGTGAGAAGATCACAAAGTGTACGGGCATCTGTGTTCACAGGACTGTTTTAAACTGACAGTTAACTTTTCAGTCAAAGGTAAGCGTGAAGTTTTTTAACTGTTGAAAAATGTGCAGTAACTTTAATGTAAGGTACTCAAGGTATTTTAACAGATTGCAAGCAGTGAGATGAACAGAATGGGGCTAAGCAAACAAGCAAGATGGTTGCTATTGGACAAGTTAGAAAGAAATTGCTGTAGCTGAATTACTGTGATTTTGTGAGCTTATTGGTGTCATGGTGAAGTCTGTCATTTCAGATGTCTGATAAGTTTTAAAATCAAATGCAATTTAACATCTAGACATGTTTTTAAATGTTTGTCTATCCCACAGATTTTTTTTTCCAAAAAAAAAAAAAGAAAAAAAAAAAAAGAGGGGAATTATTTGGTTGTAGGGTTACCCTCACATTACACGTCTCCAAAAATGGTTTTTAGATCTTACCATACAAGTCTGTTGAGTTTGTATGTAGGTACACAAACTTTCATTTTGTTGGTATTTATACTGTATTATTATGATATCTTATTGTGAACCATGGCTATACAATGTAATTTAGTTACTGAGTGCCATTAGTTCCTGGTAAGCATGCATACTTCAAAATATAAATACAGCTCTGTACTGATTTTTACTTGTTTATTCTCTTAAATAGAAAAAAAATTAATTGGGCACTGATCTGAGTATATAAAGAAACTAAGTTAGATTTTTGATTTTTCTTTGTCCTCTGCATTGCCATTATTATTTAGTTGCCTTTGCAAAGTGTTATGACCAGGGAAGAAGGTTACAGAGAAGAATTCAGCTATGACAGAATGCCAACTTTGGAGCGGGGAAAGCAAGAGAATGGAAATTATATACCGGACATCAAATCCAGTGACCTTCAGCTATCAAAGAGGCTGCACCCTTGCTTTATTTACAGAACATGGATCTTTTCTTTTCTGATGGGTGTAAGTACATTACAAAGAGTAAAAATTAAAAATTCTAGGGGAGGTTCTCTAATCTGTCCTGTTTCAGATCATTTAGGGAGTCATAATTACACCATTGATAGGACTGAATATAAATATTGGTATGGAAAGGAACATACTTAGCAAACATAAAATGTAACTTTTAATTGACTAATAATATTCTTTGGAGTGTAACTAAATATGGTTCCTGAAGGCTGATTTTTATATTTAACATTAGATGAAGTAAGTGTGGTAGTTGTAAATATCAACCTTTATTTATGAATTAGTAATGCCTCTTTGTGAAGTATGTAAATTATCCTAATCACATGCCTACTTTAAATTTTTATTTAAACTATTGAGAGTACTTGCCTTGATAGCATTTTTACATTAAAAATGCACGCAATATTTAGTTGTCAAATTTTACTTTATTTTTTCTTAAAGCTATGGACATATTTGATAGAATTCTCATGTCATGAGTGACATACTTATTTTTCTTGCATGAACATCATAGTGATATGAATTGTTGTATCACTGGTAGAATCATTGGACACTGATCTTGCACAAGCATCATGTTACTCCATGTTCTAGCCAAGTTAATTAAAGCTCATTATAGCAATTATAATTAAGTCTTCTTCTTCTTCTTAAGTCTTCTTTTTTTTTTTTTTTTCATTTTCTACGAGTTGGTATGTTTTGAAGAGTCATTTTTGTAAGAGCTGAAATGTTTCACTGTTAATAGGGTAATTAATCATTTTTGCACAGTGAATAAAAGTAGTGCTTTACTTTCATGGAAACAACTGAACGCTTTTTTTGTTCTGACAATCTGTGTAATGTGGCTTTCCTTCTGGATGTACAGTTACACAAAAAGAACAAAATAAGAATGGCTTTTCTTGCATTAAATTTTCTCAGCGTATGTGTGCTAGGCAACAGAAGTTCCATGGTGAACAGAACTGAGTTCATGGGGCGGTTGCAAACTATAGAATGACATCAGAGTGGCTAGCAATGGCTGTTTTTGTGCAGGCACAATTGAGTTTTTTGATGAGGACTTTTTAAAGACATCAGAAATCTGCAGCTTGAAAAAAAATGCCCAAATAATAAAGAGCAGCCGTTCTGTCCCCCATCTTTCCCAACCTCTTTGAAGGAATGTCTACTCAGAGCAGAAAGAAAAATTGTTAGTAGAAGATACTAATCATTTGATGCTGAAAGTTTAGTCCTAATTGTGGGCTAATTTCTAATGAATGGAGTGATTAGGAAGGGAGCAGCAGAATTTGAGCATTTATGGTTGTGCCACTGAACCAAAGTGGGAAGGGAGTTTGCAGGGAGAAAGGAGTGTGAATGGAAGTATACCTTGGTCAGTATATCCTAATACTATTTTTGTTATTATTTTCTTGTTGGTAGTTGCCCATCTGCCCATGTGAACTGTGAATTTTGGTAGAGCCAAGCAGAGGATGCAAAGTAGAGGTTTACTTATGGTTTTTTTTTTTTAGTGTTGAACCCTCTGCAATTACCTTATAATTTTCTTAGGTGTTTGCCAAGTCAGGACACAGTGCCTGATTCAGACATGCTTGTTTGGTATTAAGTCTTGGTAACCAGTGAAACGTATTCCTCAGAACTCAGCATGCTTCAATATTTTGCTTCAAAATTATTCACGCTAATTATTGTCCATCAGTAGCTCAGTTTGAAAGGAATTACTGATTTCTATCTTTACAATAGTTTTATTGTATTAATACATGTTATTTGTTGCTTTGCAGACTTGCCTCCTTATTACCTCTGGATTTTCACTGTATCTGGGAAATATTTTTCCATCTGAAATGGATTATTTACGTTGCGCAGCAGGTTCAGTAAGCATTCTTAATTATTTGCTGTGGCTGTTTGGCAGCAAAAACAGTAAATGTGTATTTATTTTCTTCTTTATTTCATCTTTTTATTATTAATTTATTTCGTGGAAAATTCATTTTTCTTTAACAGTTCATTAAATTACTTTTCAGCCCAGGATAAGGAAATAGCCATTTTCACAAATAGTGTTGTGCTGCCATTTTTGTTAACCAGATTACCATGGACAGCCATTAATTATTTGCTTGAATGGTTTTTCTGTGCCCTAATTGAAGAAAAATTTGCACTGTTATGCATTTGCAGAATTTGTTGCCTAAATGCTGTTGGAATGTATTTCAATGTATTACATTTTTCATTATATTTTGCCATAATACCCAAGTACTGAGGCTGACTGAAGTTCTCTGTATTATTGCTGTTTTCTTAACAAAATGCGAATCAATCATATCTGACATTTTCAAAATCCACTAATTTTTACTGCACATTTAGGCCCTCATATTTGTCTTATGTTATTGTGTCAAGCACTGGAATGGGCTGCCCAGGGAGGTGGTGGAGTCACCAACCCTGGAGGGGTCCAAGGAACATTTGGATTTTGTGTTGAGTAACACAGTTTAGTGAGTACTATTGGTGATAGGTGTGTGGTTGGACTGGATGATCTTGAAGGTCTTTTCCAACCTTGGTGATTCTGTGATTCTGTGATTCTGT